GTCAAGGCATTCGACTGTGATCAGTGTGGAAAGTCTTTTACTCTTATTGGTCACTTTAAAAGACATCAACTCATCCACAGTGGAGTTAAATCATTTATCTGTAATCAATGTGGAAAATCTTTTACTCAGAGTTGCATCTTAAAACGACATCAGCTCATTCATACTTGAGTTAAACCTTTCAACTGTGCTCAGTGTGGAAAGTCTTTTGCTAGGTTTCATCATCTAAAAAAATCATCAGCTCATCCACACTAAAGTTAATCCACTGAAATATGAGCAGTGTGAAGTCTTTCATCCGTAACACAAACCTATTGAGGCATCAGCAAACCCACAAAGTGTCCTGCTGTGACAAAAGTGGCAGACTAATGGGACATTATCCTGACAAAGTTCATTTGAACACAGCTAGAAACACACACGAGGGATCTGAACCAAAGCTCTTCTGCTGGGTCAATCTTAATCAGGCTTTACAGAATTCAGCTTTAATCTCCTGTTCAGTGTTACTGTGTGGAAGTCCATTAGATCAGTTATGACCTCATAAGTGTTGCATATTCAATTCAATTCAAAAATTGTTAAAAGTAGCAGTGCTTAATTCTGTAAGTATTCTAACATGAATTGCTTGTAATGAAAGATATGAAGTGTAACAACTGGAAAACGTGCTGTTGCTTTATTGTTACTGCAGTATGTATTTTTTCCACTGGAACCTCTCATTGTTGTAATGAGGTGGTGCTGTATGTGTTAGCCAACTGCCTGTTAGAGCTACACAGATTTTGAAATGTTCACAAAAGACATGGAAAAACACGCCTGTCTGAAGCTGGCAGCCAGCATGTAGAAAGATTTCCTTTGAACTGTTATTAATTATGTATGTTTTCTAATTTTAGTCAAACCGTCCAATAAAAAGCAACAGAATTCTACCAGAACTTCCTGATTCTTGTTTCATGAATTGCATGGCTATTTACTAAAAGTCTAAATAAAACTCATAATTAAAAGGCCACTGGTGCAACATGGGTTAAAATCTATGCACGCATAACAAAGTGGATGTTAATATTGTCATGTTAATATTATGTAAAATATGTTGACTATGTGAATGGTGTTATCTGTTCTGTGCAAACATCTGTGTAATCTTAAAAACTAAACATTATTCCCATCATCTGATCACAGAGAGAAGCAGAATGTCAGAACAGATCACCTTCTGGTCAAACTGAAACACCTGTTCGCACTGATGGTGAGTTTTGGTACATGCCTCACCATATGGTATACCACAATGGCAAATGCTTATTCAGCAGCACCAATCTGAATGACCTGCATCTCCCAACGCCCACACTGACATCCAGTATGTTGGGAATAATGTTGAGCTTTCGAATCTCTTATCAGTTTCCTGCGGCGAGACCTGCAGACACAGCCAGCCCAGAGTGTCTAGGAGTTTCATGTCCTCCCTTTTGGAATCAGCTGTAGCTCATGTTTTGTGACCAGTCGCTTCTGGCTGACGAGGGATTTGAGGGAAAGCAATACTAATTGTAACTAACTGTCCAGTAGACAGTGTTACATATATCAGTGAATGCTGGTATGCAACATATTAATTTGATCACTCTACATGCACTGCTCATACACATGAATGCTTAATTAAGATTGGATTTTGTATCCTTTGGCAAAAACTGATTACATTTCTGTATGGAACTATTTGAGAATTTGCCAAAGATTATCAGTTATGGAGAGCAGTAGAAATAAAGGGAAGTTTGCTTGAGTAAAAGTTTCTAATGAATATCTCAGGCAGTACAAGTTATTGACAGATAGAAGTCCGTCAATAACTTGTACTGCCAAATTGTTAAAGGGATTTTCTTTTGTGTGATAATGCTAATTTTGGCCAATTAGGATGAAGATGACCTTGACCATCCCGTCTGTTTCTTTTCAAAAA